TTCTCCTAAGGGGCATAATTGTGAAGGTGGAGATGGTGAGATAAGTCTTTTCTCCTAAGGGACATATTTGCTAAGGTGGAGATTTGTTGAGTTATCTTTTTCTCCTAAAGGGCATATTTGCGAACGTGGAGATAGTCTTTTCTCCTAAAGGGCATATATGTGAAGGTGGAGATGGTGAGATAAGGCTTTTCTCCTAGAGAGCATATTCGTCAAGGTGGAGATTTGTTGAGTTATCTTTTCTCCTAAAGAACATATTCGCCAAGGTGGAGATTGTTGAGTTTGTCTCATATATGGATTAGGAATATGAGTTTGTCTCATACTAGGAGTAGGAGTGAAACGGGTAGACTCTTTGTACAGGGATTAGATGCCTATAAATATATTGGTTGTATCCCTAAGGGGTTGTGTCACCACTATCACCATCACTATGAATATAAGAATTGTTTCACTCCCGTGGATGTAGGCACTTTGCCGAACCACGTAAATTTTGTCTTTTTACCCTTCCTGCCATTATTATTTTTCCTTGTTCTTGTTAATCTCAGCAGTGAGCAACGGACTCTCTAGCAAACCTGTGCCAAGAGTTAATCACTTGACTGGTAGACCCGAGTTGATTGTTGAAGATGAGGACGTTTCTTGCCTTCCAAATCATCCACACAGTATAAACAAACATAAAGTTCCAATTAAGGAGATCCATCCTTCATCGTTTCCTTGCTCTGGCAGTTATTCTCGAACCAGGTCATGAAGGGAGAGAATCTGCCTACTGTCGACCCTCCTAGCCTCCAGGCAGCTTCAAACATTCTCCGGCGAAAGGACACTCTCGAAAGATGTGAGCCGTGGTCTCCTCCTCGTTCCCGCATCTCTTGTATGAGCCATCCTCCATGAGCCATCTAAGGGGGTAAAATGTGACAACCCAAAATATTTTCCTCCAAAATTCTTATTTTATTAAAATTCAAAATTTTTTATTTTTATTCCTACGATGTTTTAGCCTGTGCAACTACTTGAGGGTGGGTAGTTGTGGCGGTAGCACCCTCTTGTGGATATTTTGGATTTAATCTATCTTAACTTTATCTCTTTTCCCTTTCTTTGACCCTTATTTGATTGCTAGACTATAGGCTCAAAAGTATGAAAAATGAGGGTGTTACACCCCTCTCGTAATATGAACTGCCTTCCATCTTTTATTCTTGACTTCACGTTGGATAGCATAGGAGAGCTTTTCCATGGCAAGGATGAAAAGGTAGGGCGCAAGAGGGTCCCCTTGCCTCAGCCCTCTCCCAGGTTGAAACGGAGGGAGCTTCTCTCTATTCCAAAGAATCCCAATGTTGCTTTCTTTGAGGGAGAATAAGATTAACATGATCAACCGCATCCGGGAAACCAAAATTGACCAAGGCCATCTCCAGGAAGTGCCAATCGATGCTATCGTAAGCCTTATGCAGGTCAACTTTAACAACAAGGTGGCCCTTTTTACCTTTTTTTTCCTATTAATGTTGTGCATGACTTCCTGGGTGAGAACGATGTTGTCTAAGGTCGATCTTCCTGGTACGAAGTTGTTCTGATGCGGACCAATGAGCCTATCTATCAAAGGCCTCATCCTATTGACAATCACTTTAGAAATAATTTTATAAATAACATTAAATAACGTGATAAGCCTAAAATCAGCAGCCTCTCGGGATTATCCTTTTTGGGAATAAGAGTAATAAAAGCATCAAGGAGACTTACCGAGACCATATACCTGAACCCAAGGCTTCGTTGACGAGCCCTGTAATGGAGCAGCCCACCTCCTCCCAGAAATCTTGGTAGAGCGCGGCTTGAACCCCGTCGGGACCTGGGCTTCCCAACCTTTCATCCCAAAAACCGCTTTTTTCACTTCCTCCAAGTTGGTCGGCCAGACTAAGTCCTCGGCTTCTCTCGGTCTAAGTCTCTTACCACTATGTGGTTCCGAATTGGGGACCCCCTCTTGATCGACCCTGCAAAACAGATTTGAAAAGAAATTGGTGATGTGATCTTTAAGTGCTATGTCATTGGAATTCTACTCTCCATTTTATTTTTATTTTCATGCATCGCACATATAAAACACTAGTTTTTTATATATATAAATTTGATGAGAGAGAGAAAACATACATACAAAATAATCAAAAGAATAAAATTTGAGTTAAGTCTTTGCATATTCATCCAACTAATAACTTTTTAACTTATTTGGCATGTTGCTTGTGGTAGTTGTGGTCTATGAACTGTTAATTTCAACAAATAATTTACACCAACATTTTTTTGTTCCTGTTAAGGGCCTAATTTTATTAGTTCTTATTAGATTTGTAGAAGAGGTAGATATGACAATTTTGTTACACATCCAATATAGAATGATATATACTTCTTAACGAAGGAGGGAGTAATAGTTAAACCTACAACCAAGCAACAGCTAATTAATCCCTAATTATCAGTTCATAGAAACGGAAGGAATCATGCTGCATTTTCTTTCTAAATTTGTACTTCCATTAGTATTCATCTCATGATGATATTGCACTATTTGAATAATCCTTTTTAAATATTTAATTACCAAATGAAATTTTTTAAATTCATAATGAGATCAATCAATTCAATATAACAATGAATTAATTAAAAAAAAATTAATTATCACATCAAATGTGAATCACTATGTAAATTTAAACAGAAAACAAAGAAATGGGAAATTATTAATTAGCGTATTTCAATATTTTTTTATACTTAAGTGATCCTAGTTTCGCAGAACTAATCTTAAATTCACTTGATCTCGCCCCTAGAGCCACTACAGAAGTAAATTGTAAATTACGCAATTAGTCCACCGATCTATTGGTCAGATCTTAGTTTTCATGTGCGCACAAGGGGTCCGGATTCAATCCGGCCATTCCAACATCCTTGTATCTTTCATGTTTCTAATGAGATTCGTATCCCACATTATCATCTTCGATCACAATCTTTAAGTTAGGCGACAACCAACTAGACTACCCTAATGAAGAGATTCGATTAAGTAATATGGAGGCATGAGTGTAAGTGCAGAAGGAGAACACACTCCTGACACGTGGCCTGGTTTCCATATCACACAATAACGCATGGACTACAAGCACTCAGCTGTTCGAAAATACAAATACCTTGCCACGTCATCATTTATTTTATGAAATTAAATAAATTAACACAAGTCTGACTCAAAATATTTTACTCGTTTAGCATAAAGTCAATTATTTCTGACTTCTTGCACTGCGTGAACCATGCAATGAACGGGAAACCAAGCATTCCTCACATCCCTGAAGCCTAAAAGGATATTCTTCAATTTTCCATATATGTAATTAAGTCATCAAATATAAAAAGAATTAAATTAATATGTAAATTCTGTTATAAATATTATTTATTATGGACATTATTATTATGTACAAGTCGTATTTATGTCGTCATTATTATTTTTCGTTATGATTATAATTACATATAACCCATGTATTATGTACTCATATTTGATGTTGGAATAAAGAGATCAAAGTTACATTGTTCCATTTTTCTATCTACTTCTATTTCTTTATATTATTCATGTCCATCCAATCAATTTCACCGAAGATATATTATCGTGCTGATAACGTGTTGTAAGTTGTTCCCTTTTAACTCGTAGCGTTCCTCGGTAAAACGGATTGGATGAACATAAATAATATAAAGAAACAGAAGTAGATAGAGAATGGAACAATGTAACTTTGATCTCTTAACAAAATAGTGTAATTGATATTGTATTTATTGACATCTTTAATATTAAATGCGCATATGAGATCGTCTCATTGATTTTTGCGTGTGAGACGTGTAAGACTTTTCATAAGTATTACATTTAACATCATAAGTATTATAATTTCTCTTATAATTAAGGCTTTAACTCCTAAATATTACATTTTAATTCATAAATATTACATTTTTGCTAATACGTTTTACACTTTCTCTTATAAGTGATAATCAATTTATCCATGATTAGTATTGTGTTTTTTCTTTTAAATATTAAATTTTTCATTACAAGTAATAATTAATAAATTTATTCATGATTAATATTATTATTTTTCTCATAAATAACTTCTTTAACCCCTAAATATTAAATTTAAATTTAAAAGTATTGCATTTTTAATCAAAAATATTAATTTTCTTTCATAAGTAACTGTGTGTGTGCACGCGCGTGTGTGCGTGTGGCGTGCGCGTGTGGCGTGCGTGTGTAGTGTGCGCGTGTGGCGTGTGCGTGTGCGTGTGTGTGAATTCGACTCGTCTCACGAAAAAGAATTAGTGAGAGAGTAATGAAAAGTGTAATACTTTTCAAGATATATATAAATGTTATTTTTTAAAATCAAAATGTAATATTTAGGAGTTGGACAATTACTAATGAGAGAAAGTGTAATATTTATAAGGGAAAATGTGATGCATTTGATGAAAAATGTTATACTTTCAAATCAAAATTTAATAATATGAATTGAAATGGTAGTCATGAAGAAAATTTTACAAGGAAGAGTGTAATAATTATATATAAAATTAAAAATAAAAAAACCGCAACCTTTCTCAGGAATGATGATCATAATAAGCACCTCATGAATTCCTTTGACCCACCACACAGCAGACATACATACCATGAAGCATGCTTGTTTTTTAGATAAAATAAAATCAAATATATCAATTTTAATTCAAGAGATTATGATTTCAATTAATATATTGCCATATATATATAAAAACAAAAATATTATTGTTCTTGAAAGGCAAAAAATATTACTTTTATTCCTTCATCATAAATCATAAATATAAATATATACATATATATTTGGTCATCATCTAAACATTATTATTAATATATAACCCCATGTATATTAATAAATATTAATTTTATTCCTCCATATATATATTAATATATATTTATATGTATATATATGTTCATTCCCCCCTAACATTCTCCGACCATTAAATTTATTCCATCCATCAATTTTGACACCCAGAGAGAGAGAGAGAGGGAGAGAGAGAGAATGGCTGCTTCTGAAGAAAAAAACAAAGGGATACAAAAAGCAATACTTTCAGTAGCGATCATAATCTGCATAGGCTACGCTTTCATATGGGTCATGCTTCCTACAAAGCTTTACAGACAATCATGGCAACCCAAGATCAGAGCTCAAACCAATTCCACTTACTTTGGAACTCAAGGTTTTACCACATTTCTTATATATATATATATATATATAAATTTATTTTTTAATGATGTTTAAAGTCATATATACCTTAGCTTCCTGTCCCCTACTGCTTAGTGTGCTGACCGTAGAGATGGGGGATTAGCTTCTGACTGGAGGGATATCCTGGGCAACCAAAAAAAAGCTGACCTTCTTGAAATCCCGTTCTTTCTATATATATATACTTATCATATAATTATATATATATGGGTATTATTTTCTTTGTCTCATTTTATTATGGCTTATTTATTTATTAGATAAATTAAAATTTTTATTTGTTTTATAAAATATATTTTATTAATTTTAAAATTTAAATTTAAATGCGTCGTTTTATATGATGTTACACAGGTGCAACAATGCTACTTTACACATTTCCTGTTCTACTTGTTGCTGCATTGGGATGCCTATATCTCCACGTGGGGAGGAATTCCAGTCACAGTAGTACCAATAAAGCGTAAGCAAATTTTATTTTGTTTTGTTTTGTTTTCACAATTTCATATTTATTATTGTATTGATATTTGGATAATGTATTTTGGAGAGAAGTGATGAGAAAATACAGGGATTGTCGGAATGGAAGAGGCCAGTGATAATCAAAGTACTAGGAATTGTTTCTTGGATTGAGTTGGCCTTCCTCGTCATGTTCATTGCGCTCCTAGTTTGGTCTTTCTCAAATTACTTGTCTATCAGCTTTGCTAGCATTACCCCAAAGTCTGCAGCAAGGACAGGCGAAAAAGTGTAAGTTTCAATCCTATATTATGCAATGTAAATGTAGAATATAATTATGATATGATGCCTTATTATTTGAATTAAAATTTTGTAAGTTGAATATGATGTGATGTGAAAGGTGGCAAGCTAAGTTGGAGGCTGCAGGACTAAGGTTAGGCCTGGTGGGAAACATATGCCTTTCGTTGCTCTTCTTTCCGGTGACGAGAGGCTCGTCTGTGCTGCCGCTTTTTGGTCTCACATCGGAGGCTAGCGTCAAGTATCATATATGGCTGGGCCATATTACTATGGCTCTCTTCACTGCTCATGGCCTTTGTTATGTTATCTTTTGGGCTACAACCCACCACATATCCAAGGTAATTTGAAGTGTGTGATCCGTGGCAAATTATGCTGTGCATCCGTGTGCATCATATGCATATGGATGCAAAAATGACGTCGTTTTATTAAAAATGCGCATCCCACTTAAAAGAAAAAAAAAATCTCAGTTTCGATTCCCAGCAACAGCATTATGTTGTGCATAATTTGAACTATATATCCAGAATCAATGAACTAAAAATCCATAATCTATGAACAAAAAATTACAGGATGAATGAACTAAAAATCCATAATGAATGAACTAAATATCCATAATGAATGAACTAAATATCCAGCATGAATGAAAAAAAAAAATTTAGTTTCGATTTACGTCTAAATATTCAGAATCAATGAACGAACTAAAAATTCAGAATCAATAAACTAAAAATCCAGAATCAATGAACTAAAAATTCAAAATCAATGAACTAAAAATCCAGAATCTATGAACTAAATATCCAGAATCTATGAACTAAAAATCCAAAATGAATGAACAACATAATGCTGTTGAGGGGAATCGAAACTAATTTTTTTTTTAAGTGAGACGCGCGTTTTTAGTCAAAATGACGTCGTTTTTGCATCTGTATGCACCATGCATGGTGCACATGGATGCACAGCATAACGATCTGTGATCCGTCTCAATTAAAACTCTAAATTGATAGTTGACTGTTGAATTGTACATTTATGAACGTCGTCCCTTCACGTGTGTGAATTGATTACTTTTTATTGACTCGAAACAGTAGGTGGACACAAATATTTTGTATCGGGTGATGTAGTGATTCGAACCTATAACCTCTCCCATGATATTAACTCTGATATCAAATTGAAGTATTATAATTTATAGTTGATAGTTGATTATATTGCTCATTTATGTTTATATATATATATATATATATATATATATATATATATATATATATATATATATATTCAACAATATATACATGCATGTTAGGATCAAGCACTTATCACTGCTCCAAAAGCTATAGCTAGTAGCGAAGATACAACTTTATTTGTTTATAATGCCACACATTTTTTATACACTAAGTGCTAAACTTGTTCTTTTAAGCTTTTTACCAGTCTCAACCCAACAATCTTCGGCTACAGAGTGTTAGATTTGACATTTACCAACCTCTGCCCGCCCAACAATACATGTATTAATGCCACACTACACAATCCAATATTAATAAACATCTTTAATGAGCAACCTCGGACAAGTTGATCAGTTTTGATAACCAATAATGTTGGTTTGTGCTTCACCCCAACATTACTTGTAGTGAAGTTTAAATTATAACCATGACCAAGAATTCTAGTATACATTCATTAACGATGTATTTTTTTTTTTTAACACTATTGACTCTATTACAATTTACAATGATCTATTTATATATATCTCAGATGTTGGAATGGGTAAATACAGACATCTCAAACTTGGCCGGAGAGATATCTCTAGCGGCGGGATTGGGGATGTGGGCTACAACATTCCCAAGCATAAGGAGGAAGATGTTTGAGCTCTTCTTCTACACTCATTACCTCTACATCCTCTTTGTCATATTCTTTGTCTTCCATGTTGGCATTTCCTATTCTTGCATTATGCTTCCTGGTTTCTACCTCTTCTTGGTCGATCGTTACTTGAGGTTCTTGCAATCTCGAAAACACGTTCGTCTCGTCTCTGCTCGTCTTCTCCCTTGTGAAACCATCGAGCTCAACTTTTCCAAATCACAAGGTATATTATATTAAATCAATATAAATGTTCAATTCACCATCTATCTTTTGTTTATTTATGTTGTTTTGTGATTATTATTCTAAAAATTGTGTTAGGGCTAAGGTATACTCCGACTAGCATCCTGTTTGTGAATGTGCCTGGTATCTCAAAGCTACAATGGCATCCCTTTACAATCACTTCTAGCAGTAGTTTGGAGGCTGACCAAGTTAGTGTGATGATCAAAGGTGATGGCAGTTGGTCTAAGAAGCTTTACCAAATCCTTTCCTCCCCTAATTCCCCCGATCGCCTAGACGTCTCCGTCGAGGGACCTTATGGACCTGCTTCAACTCATTTTCTAAGGTACCCATATCAATTTATGACATACTTAATACTCAATTTAGTCATTTATTATAGTATAGTTTTTCTCTATTTAGTCTTAAATGACTTTTTAATACTTAATTGGGTCCAAGGATAATTTGGTAATTTTTCCTTTATTAATACAGAGTTTAATCCTCATCTATAGTAGTTTTATCCAATTTAGTTATAGACTATTGTGATTTTTTTCAGATTTAGCCATTGATTCTAACAACTAAGTGTTGGATCAAACGCTTACCATCACGCCAAAAGCTATATCTAGTAGCGAAGATGCAACTTTAATTTATTTCCCTATACCTCCACAAATTTTCGAGACATTGGGTGCCCTTTACCGGCCTCCGCTCAACAATTCCCCAACCACTGGGTGCTAGACTTTGCCCTTACCAACCTCCGCCCATCCATTACGCCAAAAGCTATAGCTAGTAGTAAAGACGCAATTTTATTTCCTACACTGTTACACATTTTCGAGACGTTAGGTAACCTTTACCAGCCTCTGCCAAACAATCCCCCATATCACTTATTACAATCAAGTGCTTACCACTACGCCAAAAGCTATAGCTAGTAGCGAATGCGCAACTTTATTTCTTTATACTGTCACACATTTTTGAGATATTGAGTGCTGTATTTGCCCCTTTAAGTCCTTTACCGGCCTCCGTACAACAACCCCTATTAAGCACAAAAGATCAGTATAGTTGAGGACTAAATTGTGTATTAACTCATTATTTAAGACTTTAGGTAAGAATACAAATATAATGTAATGTTGGGTTAACCATGTTTATGTTTTGTTACAGGCATGATTTGTTAGTGATGGTAAGCGGAGGGAGTGGTGTAACCCCATTTTTCTCCATCATTAGGGAGCTAATGCACAAAAGCCAATCTTCAGAATCCAAGATTCCACAGGTTCTTCTGATTAGTGTGTTCAAGAACTCATCTGATCTCACCATGCTAGACCTCATCCTCCCCATATCAGGTGCACAATCAGAGCTTTCCAAATTGAGGATACAAATTGAGGCCTATATAACCAGAGAGAAACAACCACCGGCTCTAGAAAACAACAAGAATAATGTGCAGATCAAATGGTTCAAATCCAACCACACAGATCAACCCATGACTCCAATCCTAGGCCACAACAACTGGCTCTGGCTTGGAGCCATAATCTCTTCTTCTTTCATACTTTTCCTAATATTGTTGGGGCTCATTATCAGATATCACATATACCCCATTAACCAAAGGACTGATAACGACTACCCATACTGGAAAAAGGCGGTTTTCTTCATGCTCTTCATATGCATCAGTATAGTCATCGCAGCCACTGCTGGGTTTCTTTGGAACAAGAGAAACATCAATGCCAAGGAGGCCAAACAAATTCAGAACGTCTCTGGGGCTTCTCCCAATTTTCAGTGGTCTTATAATGCTGAAAGAGAGATGGAGAGTTTGCCTCAACAGTGGTTAGCTCAACATACCAACGTGCACTTTGGTCAAAGGCCAGATCTAAAGAGTAAGCCTAGCTTTTTGTCTGAGTTTTTTGCAGTTTTGGTCCCATGACTATAGTAGCACTTTTAGATTTTCTCCACGTGTTTCAAACCTTGTAATTTCTGTCCACAATTATTATTATTTATTTTTTTTTACAAAAATGGTCCTTCCGGCCCATTTTCCGTCAATTTCTCACCGGAGTAAGAATCATTTCCGGCAAAATCCGGCCAAAAAATTGACGAAAAATGGGTTGTAAGGACCATTTTTGCAAAAAAATATTAAAAAAAAATTGTCGTGTACCGAGATTGCAAGGTTTGAAACTCGTGGAGAAAACCTGAAAGTGCTACTATAGTCGTGGGACCAAAAGTGCGAAAAACTCCTTTTTGTCACGAATCAACTTAGGATCAAACACTTACTGCTTATGTCAAAAGCTATAGCCGATAGCAAAAACATAACTTTATTTCTTTATAAACTGCCATAGTTTAACTTAATGGTTCAATAGACAGTATTTGAAGGAGAAGAGATTAATTAATATAATTGTTGCAGGAATGTTGCTTGAGCACAAGGAGGAGAGTGTTGGAGTTCTTGTGTGCGGACCAAAGAAGTTGAGACATGATGTTGCAAAGATATGCACTTCTGCTTCGTCTGCCAACCTTCATTTTGAGTCCATTAGCTTTAGCTGGTGATCTCCTGAGGAAGAAAGAAAAATGTTCTGTTCTGTTTTGTGGGTGTGTGTGTAACTGTGTAACTGTGTAACTGTGCTTTTTAATGCAAGAAAAAAGTGGCTCTTTGGCGTATTTTATTTGTTGTTTGGCTGCTATAATTTATATATATAATTGCTGATTGGGAGAGAAAACAGTTTTTCCCCATCATCCTCTGTATGTGTAAATTAAATCACAAAAATAAAAAATAAAAAAATACTTCTGTTGCCAAAGTTTTAAATAAAATGACAAAGTGTAAAAATCTTTTATATTAATTAAATACCATTTGCCAATGATGAAGATTGGATTATCATAAGTAACTTAACACAAGTTCTATACAATAGAGATATAGAAGATCGAAGGAGAGTCCTAGTAGACTACAACTATAAGTCCTAACACTCCCCCTCAAGCACAAGGTTGACTAGCTGCAACATTGAGCTTGTTACGCAAAAAACCAAACCGGGTAGACGAAAGAGTTTTAGTGAAAATGTCAGCGAATTGATCCTTCGTAGAAATAAAGTGCACCTGAAGCTCCTTTTTGGAAACTTTATCACGAACAAAGTGGTAGTCAATCTCCACATGCTTTGTCCGAGCGTGAAATACTGGGTTGGCACACAGATAGGTGGCGCCCAAGTTATCACACCACAGCTTGGGCGGAGAAACCGGAGACAAACCAATCTCCCTCAGCAACGACACAAGCCAGGTCACCTCTGCAGACACATCTGCCAAGGCCTTGTATTCTGTCTCAGTAGACGAACGAACCACCGTGCGTTGCTTGCGACAAGACCACGAAACCAGATTACCACCCAGATAGACAGCAACCCACTCGTTGACTTACGATCAGTCGGATTACCAGCGCAGTCTGAGTCAGAAAACGCATGAATGTCAGTAGAAACAGAATGCCTGATATGAAGACCCAAGTCAAGAGTACCTTTCACATACCGCAACACCCGCTTCAGCATGCCCCAATGAGCCGTGGTGGGAGCATGCATGTGTTGGCAAAGTCTGTTCACCGCATAGGACAATTCGGGCTGAGTAACTGTAAGATACTGAAGTGCTCCTGCCAGACTACGGTACTAAGTAGGATCATCATAGGGAGCCGAAGTAGAGTCATCGGACACTGTAAGAGACACCTGGGTAGTAACAGGCTTACAATCAACCATACCGGCACGCTTCAGAATGTCACCCATGTACCGCTGTTGAGAAAGCAACATTCCACCAGAAAAAGGAACAGTCTCAATCCCGAGAAAGAAAGACGGCGACCCCATATCACGAATCTTAAATCCTGCCGCCAATTGAGCCACAAGGCCTGCAACACGGGTAGAATCCGAACCCATCACCAGGATGTCGTCTACATACATGAGAAAATAAAGCTGAACGCCACCATGAGAATAGTAAAACAAGGAAACGTCAGTTTTAGAAGGAACAAAGCCAATGGAAACCAGAAAAGTGTGCAGCCGTGTGAACCAAGCACGGGGAGCCTGTTTAAGCCCATATAAAGATCGCTGAAGAAGACACACATGACCAGGCGACGCCTTGTCCTCATAGCCAGGCGGCTGCCGCATATACACAGTCTCAGCAAGGGTGTCATTCAGGAATGCATTATGGACATCCAACTGATGAATGGCCCAACCCCGTGACATGGCCAGCGAGAACAGAAGACGAACCGTCGTGGGCTTGACAACAGGACTAAAAGTCTCAGAAAAATCCTGCCCAGCCACTTGATTGAAGCCCTTAGCTACCAACCTCGCCTTATGACGCTCCACCAAGCCGTCAGCTTTCCGTTTCGTCCGGAAAACCCACTTACAGCCGACGACATTCATACCTGGAGCGTAGGGCACCAACCGTCAAGTGCGGTTCTGAAGCAAGGCATTGAATTCTACGTCCATGGCCTCACGCCACTCAGGATGCCGGACCGCCTGAGTATAACAAGATGGGTCAGAGACACCTGCTGTAGAAACCAAAGCCACGTGCTGAGTAGGCCCCTGACTGCGCGTAGCCATCACATGAGACCGAGGCTGAGCTGGCTTGGCAGTGCGACGCGACCGGCCACGCACATGAGCGGTAAATGTGCACTCACTAGACTCAGAACTGGAAACACCCGCAACACCATCAGAACCAGACAAGTCCTCAACAACCTCATCAACCACATCAACCACAACCGGGCGAACAACTGGAACGGGGGCAACACCCCATGGTACCACCTGAGCTGTACCTGTAACCTGCGAATCAAAAGAGGAAGAAAACGGAAATACAGACTCATCAAACTGCACACCACGGTAGATGAAAACCTTATTAGTGGTGATATCCAGACAACGATAGCCACGAAACGAATCTGGATACCCCAGAAAAACACAAGGAGCTGACCGATACAGAAGTTTGTTACGGTTATACGGACGAAGCAACGGAAAACAAAGACAACCAAACACACGCAGAAAAGAGTAAGACGGAGGTGAACGGTGTAAACGCAAATGGGGAGACTCATTATCCAAAACACGGGTAAGCATTTTGTTAATCAGATATACAGCAGTCTCAAACGCATAGTCCCAAAATCGAGTAGGGATGGATGCATGAGCCATTAACGCTAACCCAGTCTCAACAATATGCCTATGCCGACGCTCCACACGACCGTTTTGCTCATGTGTATACGCACAGGACTGCCTGTGACGAATACCCAGAGACAAGAACGTAGACTGGAGCTTCTTGTATTCTCCCCCTAAATCAGACTGTATGGAGATAATTTTTTTGGGAGAATGACCGCTCAACAAGTGACCGAAACCGCTCAAATATAGACTAAATGTCAATTTTAACGCGCATAGGATAAAACCAAAGATACCGAGTAAAGTCATCCACATATAGAACAAAATAGCGATACCCATTTGTGGAAACAATAGGCGCAGGGCCCTAAATATCCGTATAAATTAATTGTAAGACATGAGTACTAGACGAAGCAACACGAGGTAAAGGAAATCGGGAAGACTTCCCTAATTTACAAGCAGAACAAATGTTTGACAAACTACTAGAATTAAAAGAGATAACACCAGACGACTGCAAAACTTGGAGCAAGACACGAGCATGTGGGTGACCTAGTCGCAAGTGCCAAACAGACGACGACGCACGAGCAACATATATACGCAGCAGGAGCGGAACACGAAGCAGGCCAAGAATATAACCTCCCGGAAGCATGTCCCTTAAAAAGAACCTCTCTGGTCAAACGATCCTTCACAAAAAAACAAGACGGATGAAATTCAAAAAAGACATTATTATCTTTAGCGAACTTCTGAACAGACAACAAAGAAGACGAAAGACCAGGGACATGCAACACATTATTCAACGAAAACAATTTAGAAGGTGAGGCTATCGAAGTGGAACCAACACTAAATATAGGCAAACCTGCACCATTGCCAACTCGCAGAGTGTCGGGACCATCATACGCAGTAGCCGAAGAGAGCACAGACTCATCAGGAGTGACATGGTTTGTAGCCCCGGTGTTCGGGAACCACTTATGCGGCCCATCCGAACCACCATCATCGGTAGAGTAGGCCATGTGCGCCTGAGGTCCTGAAGAAGCGGCATACTGACTCAAACGATAGCAAGAAAGAGCATAATTCCTTTGGTTATTACAAATCGTGTGCATCCATCTAATATTTTTTAATGGTCTAGATTATATTAAGTGTATGCGAATGCGAATCAAATGTGTGCAGACACACTTAATGGTGTTTGTCACAAACCCCAGAACCTCTCAAAATCAATGCTAGCGAACATACCTAGGCAATTCCCAATTTGTTCTAGGATTGCTTTCGAGGTGTAGCCATAAGGGAGATTCTAAACTTGGATCCTCATCTCTAGCCGAAATTTTAAAACTTTTCAATCTTATAATATGAAAGCAATTCTATTAAATAAATCCCAAATAGAGTATTCTAAACATAAGGTCTGGGGTGTTATGTCACATCTGAGCTGGAGAAATCAGATGCACAGGCTATTCTAACTATCCTTTAAACATTGTCATTACATCATCAAGGCGCGCAGGCCGAAAGGAAAGACTAACTATCTAAGCTGAGGTCCTCTAGCGCGCTCCGGTAGCTAATCATCTGTGCCTGAAAGCCAAATATATCTGTTCAGCGAATGATGCTGGTAACCCACTCCAACGCGTTAAAATACAATATAGGTATATATGTACATATAGATATAGGAAAACCATTTTGAAGCAGGAAGATATATACCTAGGAAACTCTAGCTTTAAAAACCAGGAATAGACTTGACAAATAGGGATAAACATATTCAACAGTTATAATCAAGCATATAAAGACACTAGCATATATCCTAGGGTCACAGATTCACTTCACATCGTTCATATCATCATTCAATTCATATCTTATCACATAAGCACACTTTGGTGGCGCCACGGGACCAATCGCATGCCCCAAACATGAGGGTTAGTGCATATAGCACTAACACGGCCCCGCAGCACCCTACCTCATACCGCAGCATGAAGGAGTTGACCGCAGCCAACTGTATAGACCGTCGATAGGTTCAACGGCGGATCACAACCATACACACCGCTGACGCGCTCAGTCGGTGGACTGTGATCCTCTTTTGGGGACAGCAACCCTACACACCGCTTGACGAGCTCAGTCGGTGGGTCGTAGCTTATCAAAGCCCTACACACCGCCTGAGGGACTCATTCGGTGGGCAATGATCTTTGGGGACTACGACCCTACACACCGCTGGCACATACACTCGGTGGATCGCAGCCGACCATAGCCCTACACACCGCATGATCACTCATTCGGTGGACTATGGCCTTCCTCGGGCTAGTGGCCCTACACACCGCCTGGCGCGTCCAGTCGGTGGACCATAGCACACGAGGCCCATGTGGACCGCAACCCAAGAACTGAGTCACTGACCGCAGCCAGGAGAATGAACCGCAGCTCATGAGTAACCAGTTTGACTGCAGCCAAGATAACGAACCGCAGCTCGTGTATAACCAATTTGATCGCAACCAAATTGGGGTATCATGCTCACATAACACATAGCAACACATATTAGCACATAAGGAAGGGGGGAAAGCATATAAATAAACTTATG